AAATGTTTTATATATATACAAATAGCGTAATCATGTTCTAGGGTTTCTAAAATGATTGAATTCCATTGACAACCTACGATACAGTCCAAATATAAGTATATTAAGCCGATAGGAAAATCGAAAAAAATAAATGGATTAAGTTTCCATGGAATTATGTTGATGGGTGCGAGCACAAGGACATAGAATCCTTAATGGCTCTTAAGGATGGCCGCGGTGCAGGAAGGATCCTGCTGGTGGCTACAGTTCATTTGCTAACACGGCAGCTCGCTCCCAAGGACCTACTCAAGTATCCTTGCCCTCGCTCCTTCACTTCGACCCTTATTGCCTTCTTCGATCCCCCTCGTCTTATTAACTCCTCACTTTTTCAATCCTTTGTATCTCAACTTTAAGAAAAATAATTTACTTCCAATTTATCAACACTCTATATAATAAGGTAGTAAAGATCTTTTTTCCGTTTCTCAGGAGCTATGGATTTTGATGAATGAGATATGAAAAAAAAAATGGCGTCTGAAGTGAATATATTAGTGGAGAGAAGACATATCCGTTGACAATATTTTTGACCACAAAACCACACTCTATGTAAGGATCTGAAATTCAAAGAAAAAATAAATGAAAATGAAAAAAGAGAATGGTCTACGTTTGTAAACATGTGTAAACAACAAAAAACGTGTGTTTATTTAAAAAACAACCTCCATTTTCTGAAAAATTGGTGCCAGATATAATTTTTCGAATTTCAGATTCGAACCCCCATATCAGACTGAAACGACTAGAAACCGCCCGACGTTTTCGAATACTGCAGCACTTACTGTACAAACGCTCTAAGCTCACAATCAATTACAAACGACTCATATATATGACAATAATAAGATCTATTTGGATTTACGGAATTGGATTAGGCCCAATCCAGATACCTATCCTTCCATAACAAACTGCAGAACCATCCGAACCCTCTCGTTTCAAACCTTGCTTCCTCCTCGATCCCTGATAACCCTCCGAGCCGTCTGAAAAGAAGATGGTCTCGGGACCTTCTAATATAGAACTTTAATTTGAATTCTACCAATGGGTTGTTTCTCTTCAAGTTGTACATGTCATGTTACCAATGTCACATTTACTTGTTGTATTTTTCATGTAATACGGTAGTAAATTTAATTAAAATAAATGAATAAAAAAAAGATTTGAACTTAGTCAAAGGTGAAAGTATAAAAATCAGGAAACATTTCTTAAAGGAGTGAAACATTTTTTTTTTTTTTGCGGATCACTGTTATCGTCGTTCAAAAAATATAATTTGTATTGATTAACATATTAGGCTCTTAATATAAACTAACGGTTATAATTAAGTTGTTTCACTCTGCAAATAGGAAGAACCGAACGGTTTAACCAAAAAGCTCTTTATTTGTTTTCGGTTAATCGTTATTTTTTGGAGTTATTTTAGTTCTCCGATTGTAGTCGGTTATTTTTTTATTAGTCCAATAAGTGGAAAAAATAATCGTACTTGGAAAACAAAATTGATGTCATGCTGGTACTGGTGGGAGGAACTAGTCTATTAAGTGGGCCCTTTCGTGATGTTTATTACCGCCGCGTACTTACCAGCATTGGACAGTTACATAATTTCTGGTCCGTCTGAAATGAAAAGTAACTGACTCTGATGGGAATTGAACCCACAACGTACTTGCCCATCCTGTCCTCCAAAATTGATGTCTTTTTTTATTAACAATATATAAAAAAATCTAAAAAAGTATTTAAATCAGTATTGAATGGGTAGTATTTTTTTCTCCCATCATATAATCCATGCATTTCCAGCTTTGAATTATTGCCAGCCTGAATCTTCTTGTTTAGAGTATATTAGAACATTGTTATAAAATAAACGATTAATATATTATTATGTGAAAATGAAAAATACCATATTTATTTAAATTAAATTCAAAGACTATTAAGAAAAAAAAGAAAGTTGTAAAAATATGTTGTTTAAATAACCAGTTATTTTGAGAAGTTACAACCGGCCTATTAAACCGAAGGTAAAAAATTGGGAGGAACCGACAACCTGTTACTTTTAAATAATAGTCATCCCCAGTTCATCCTGTTATTTATCTCATTAATATTAAAGTTTTGAGATCAGTTATCTCCTTCTCCTTTCGGACACACTCGGATAGTTTTGATATCCTATGTAGACAGTTATCTATTTAATCTTGGCCCAACTGTCAACAAAACGTGTTGTTATACGTTTTAACAATTAACGCTCAAGCTTCTAACTTTCCTCCGAAATTGAACAATTTATGTTTTTAAAATCATTACAAAATCGATTTATTTGATTACTATTTGTAATTGAATTATTCTTTATCTTTACAACAGGCAGATTCTAGTTATGAAGAAGAAAAATAGTACTTTTTTAGAAGAGATTAATTTGCAGAAAAGATAGCAGAGTTACAAAAACGAAGCTATAGTGAAATGGAAGGCTGGTATTTTTCCAGCGCGCGACAAAAAGATATATCCCAGGTCAATATTTGGAAACATTTTGATTTTTTTTCTTAAAGAGAGAGCTTTTGGCTTGCGCTCTGCCTCTAGGTAGCATTCGGTTGTCAGCTGTTTTGAATATTGTTTTGTTTTTTTCTGTAGTCTGAAAGTGAATTTTTCTTTAAATATAGATGGCCATAACTTTTCAAATGCCTACTTGATCTATAAAGAAGAATACGATGGATCGATTGTGCATTGATGAAAAAAAAAGTAAAGGAAACTCAGCTAGTAAATTACTAAGTTTGTTAAATATGGCTTTTGAATATCAGCTTGCATTAGTTTTCAATATTGCCTGCTCAATGAGGATTTTATTATTTGAAAGCTACTAGCGCTTATACATTTGGCGATAGTTCGATAGCTCTGAATATCGATAATTTAATATAGATAAAGATTGCCCATCGATCTTGTAAGTATAACATTTGGAAAAAAATTGCCTTTTCTTAATAGTTATAAAAAAATTTCAGATATTTGTCCTAAAACTCGCATTCAACAGTGGTTAAGGAAGGTTAGCCTGAAAATAATATAGAAATTGTAAATTTATTTTTTTATGATATTTACAACTGAGTATAGATTACGCTGTAGAGCATTTAGAAAATCTTCTCAGTGATTTGTTTCATAGATAATATTTAAATAATGTATTATTTGTGAAATCCGAGATCTTTGGACATATTTTTTTTTCTTGCGTCGACCAAGTAGCAGGAAAGATTGAACGGATCGATTGGGATTAATTTCTAGTTGAAGAGTGAAATGAGATGCATTTTTCGTGCATGTAAGAATTTACTGTTGGAAAATTAGTTTATGATTGTGTAGTTTATATTTTCTTTACATGTTTTTCCGAATATCAAAGTTCTGCTCCGTATGTCTACATTGGTCTCAGTATAGTACTATACATCTATCGCTTGTTTCGTACGTTATGTGAGGATCTGTAGATCAGAAGATGTGAGAGGTTTTTTTATATATATTGTCTTATCAGTTCTTGTCTTTTTAAATCTTTTGCCTTAGTATAGTTAGAGAAAAACAAAAGGGGCCAAAGAAATAAAAAAAATAACACCAGCAAACTTAAGAAATGATTTGACGATGAATCGGAACGATATTCATTTGAAGGTTGATGGAGAACCTGATCTCCCCTATGCATACCTACGACATAGAACAAATGGGGGTTGTCGTTTATTTTCGATGGACATGAAACTTTTCTTATAGGAATACTTATGTGGCTTGATTTGTTGTCATTTGATTTACTTTTCGGGTCAGAACAAAGCAGAAGAACCTCAAGGTTCAGTACTCGCTCCATTACTCTACATTACACACAACTATTGCAACATGTTCACAGCGGAATATGGAGAGAACATAGCTATTTTAGTTCACAAAAATCAAACATACGCCTCACAAACCTTACAACTGTATTTTACACAATTTTATTTTTGATTTAAGAAAATGTGATTAAATCACGAAAAATCATAACACTTTTAAACTTCAACACGAAACGTGTCCTGCAGTTTTCCTTTACAATACTCAGAGTTCATAGAAAATTTCTTTCCACTACCTTGGTCTGACATTGTGTAATAACATAGTTGCCTAGATATCACAGAGAAAAGAAAAATCTTAAATCTGCATTCACTTCTTTGGAAAAACTCCAAACTAAAACTTAGTCAGATATACATACATTTACTTACTGAATCTTTTTTTTGGACTTCGGCACAGCTACAAAAACTCATAATAATAATGTTCAAATCATTCAAGCCAAAAACATTCATGACAATTACGAAAGAATCCTATTGTGTTAGCAACATAATAGTTACATACCGACAGCGAACACATAGGAACCACTCACAGATTATTTCATCGCAAATTGCAAGGATACTCAAGTATATTCATAAATTACATTGCCGCAAAACGCATGCCAAGTATCATTCACGGACAGGGCTGAAAATGAGTTGGATGAGTGACCTGCTCTCCTAACAATTAATGTAGATATCAGGCCAGGAGGAGGTGCCGCTGGATATAGCTGCCTTCATGCCATTGAGTTATATCACCATAAACTAATCCATTCGTTGTTAATATTATAATTTAAAGATGTGAATAAAGACTACAAGTTAAAAAAAAAATCCATTTCAACGTTGAATAAAAAGTTTCTTTGTCTGTAGTTAATGTTTTGTTGGTCTTCTTAGTTTTTTTTAACGATAACCGACAGAATCTTCGATATTGACAACTATCGATACTATCGCCTAAGAAATATAATATGAAGGGGAATATTGTTATTTTGATTGACGCCATCTTTCGTAGATTTCTACAAGCTTCAAAATTAGCCTAATCGCTGCTATTGAACGATAAAACGGCATATTATTTTTACGGCAGTTTTGCATCATATTATATATAATTGTCTTGGACTTAATAAAAATTTGCTTTAAAATTAGTGTGCTTAACAGTTGGTAATATATATGTTGATATATATATTTTGCGAATTAATGCAATTTTTTATATTTTTGCAGGCAACGTCCAAATATTGTGATGGTAAATATTTGTAAGTATAAAACTGAAATTTTGTAACTGCATGTTTTTTTTATACTTTAATATATTTATTCACTAACGAATATATTAATAAAAATAAATATAAATACAAAAGTAAGAACTGAATAAGGAAATATTATTTCAAGGCCAATGGTCTTGAAATCTCGCTTAACTATCAGATTTCATCTCACCTTTTATAAACAATTTAGCTCGAATATTAAAATAATATTTTTTTTCTATATTTCGCAAGAGTGACGCTACCTGCGTTAATTATTTATTGTAGATCTGAAAAATCCAAGATCTCCAAGACCAAAAAAATAAAAAAGTAAATTGTTTATCGGCAAAATTAAAGTATTGGATGTGTAAATAGTTGACTGAATTTGGCTAACCAACAGTTTCAATTTTCAAATTATATTTCAATTTTTAAGCTTAGACTGTTTTTGTAAACGATAAAAATAAAAAAACTAATGAAAACATAATTTTTCTGATTTTTAAACTTGAGTGATATTTAGAATAGAATAGAATAGAAAAATAATTTTATTCTGGAACACAGTCCCTTGAGAATAACAAAATAGAACAAAATAAAAAGATTACATCTGGCCAAAATAAAATCAATCGAAAAAAAGAAATAATGTAAAGAAAATATAAGGTAAACATTCTACATACAAAACAAACGAAACTATATACAAAACAATTAATACTATGAAAAGACACTTAAAGCTATTTACACTGATAGACCAATATATCAGTGTGGTCTAGACCTCAGTTCAGAGCGTATGATAAAAGTTCAGTCAGTTTATAGTTAGTGATTTTCGCAGTTTTTAGAAGGAGTTCGGTCATAATTTTTGGTTAGAACCAACTATTAATCGTGTTATATCCACAGACAGGAAAGATTCTTCAATACAACGCCGTTTCACGTCAGAAGAAGAAAGGAAAAATCATAATTTTAGTCGGCTTAAGGTATTTATTGCAGGCATTCTAGATAAGAATATAGGTGGGGAGCGCATGCGCATAAATAGGACTAGGTACTAGATATCTCAGTGTTTCCAGTGACGAGGTTGGGTAACGTCAATTTTTTTACCACGTTACTTACGTAATTTTTTTTTTCTCTTTCTTCTTTTCTCTCGCTTATCAAGATGGTTTTATGCCCAATCTGTAAACAGACCATAGCAAGAGAAGAAAAAAAAACAATGGCATGCACTGTCCCAACATGTCAAGCCATTTTCCATGGAAAATGTCTAAACGCAGACGAGAGTGAGTTTGAAGCACTGAGGGCATTACGAAAAAATTGGGAATGCCCGAAATGTGAAAAGGCACGGAAAAATATCCAACCGACAGACAAGTGTCTCAGCCCGCCAAGATCGGCGCCACAACAACAAACTGTCGACAGCACGTCACAACTGTTACTTGCTGCCATTAAAAATTTAACAGAAGAGGTCAAGGGATTAAAATTCTCCCTCGATGCCAATGCTAACGAGGTGAAAGAATTAAAAATATCTCTCGAAAAGCAAGCATCCATAACTTTTGAGAATGCGGCGAAATTAGACTCTATAGAGTCACTACTGGAGGCTCAAAATTCCAAGATTGACGGACTGGTCTTGGAAAACACGACTCTCAAGTCTCGGGTCTCGGAGCTCGAAATCAGGCTCAATAAAAGTGAGCAACTGCACCTTTCCAGGTCAATAGAAATAAGAGGAGTCCCAGTGAGATCTGGAGAGACCCCGATGGGCCTGGTTATGAGCGTGGGGGCGGGCCTGGGCCTTAGTCTAAAGGTGGAGGACATTGACTATGCAGAACGGATAAGAAACAGGCAAGACGATACACCTGGGCCGCTTGTGGTAAGGTTCGTCCGGCAGTCGCTTAGGGATGAGTTGATCCAGAGGCGAAAAGTCATTAGGGATTTTTCAACACGTCACCTCGGATGGCAAGAAAATGACGCCCACAAGATCTACCTGAGCGAAGCTATGTCCGTAACCAACAGACACCTGTACTGGCTGGCCCGGCAAAAGAGGTCTGCAGGAAAAATCAGGTACAGTTGGTTTAGCGCAGGCAAGGTGAAATGTCGACGAGACGATGGACAGCAGGTCGTCGTCATCAACTCACCATCAGATTTAGAAACGTTTGCTTGACATGCATATACATGTTACAACACTTTGAACAATTTTGTTTTTACTTTTTTATATCCCCAGTTTTATGTTTTTGTTGCGTTTGTTTTAATAATAGACTATGATAATAATTTCATTTTTGTTTATGAGAATATTTTAGGTCTGATCTGTCCAGAAACTCTAATTTGTGTATTTTTTTTCTTTTGCACAATAGGAATATGCTTTTCGTTAACTAAATTTTATATTTTTTGTTTACCATCCTTATTAATATCTAGGAGATCTTGCACACAATTGGCTCTAGCTGCTGTAGAAATATTCCTATCCTTAACTCCTTCTGTCCGTTTACCAAGCCACCCCTCCTTCTTCCATGACTAATATCCTTCTAACCTGCCACGTCAACGCTCAGTCACTCTTAGCCCATTTTGATGAATTTTACGACTTTTTTCTCCATAACTTCTACCATTTAATTGCCGTATCCGAAACCTGGTTGAAACCCACAATCCCGTCCTCCCAGATCCTTCTACCTAACTATACTCTCCTTCGTCATGACAGAGTAGATCGCACGGGTGGTGGAGTAGGTCTCTTTGTCCATGACAGTCTCAAATCCAAAATTCTTCACTGCTCTTCCATAACCGATTCTCCGCACGTTGAATACCTTTTCGCCGAAATCCTCACCACCTCATCTGCCATTCTGTTTGCTGTCATATATCGCCCTCCTAGAATTCCTTTCGATGAATCACTTGAGACTTTATTGTACAACTTAATCCCTTCCTACTCAAACATCATCCTCTCCGGTGACTTTAACACCAATTTACTGGCACCATCCTCTGATTATTCCTACCTAACAAACCTCTTTAATTCTCTCAGCCTTTACATAGTACCCTACAATCCAACCCATCATACTCAGTATTCAGAGTCCTGGCTCGATCTAATTATCCTGGATTCCTCAGACAAACTCCTTGCCGCATCTCAGCACCCGGTTCCGTTTCTATCTTCCCACGATCTTGTCCAGATCTCTTACAATGTCCCTGTTCCATCCTTTTCTCCCCGAACAATATCCTTCCGAAACCTAGATTATCTCACTCACGAAACATTGTCAGAAGGTCTTGACGATATCCAGTGGGATCCCATCTACTCCTCAAAATCCATAGACACCATGGTAGAAATCCTAACCACTCAACTTCACTCTATCCTCGACCGACATGCTCCTCTTATCACAAAAACCATCCGATATCCTCCAGCTCCTTGGCTTACCCCTGCTTTGAGGGAGTGTATGAGAGAAAGAGATGCTGCAAGGCGACGGTTTAAACGAACTCGACTTCCTGATGATTTTCTCTCCTACAAACAGCTTCGAAATAGCACTCAATCAGCAGTACGCCGTGCTAAATCCCGTTACTACCATCATTCCCTATCCAACTCTCCCAATACCAAGGCTACGTGGGCTATTCTTAGAAAACTGACCATTGGTAATACACCCCAGTCTCAGTCCAATTCCGTTTCTGCTGATAACCTCAACGCTCACTTTGTCTCCTGTCCTCTTGCATCCACATCTCCCACGTCCAGTCTGGCTCCTATGTTCTCTTCCTTTAATCCTGATCACTTCTTTCTTTCCCATATTACACCAGATGAGCTCCTTAAATCCATTCAGAAGTCCCATACCAATGATTACGGTCCCGACAACATCCCAGTCAGACTGATTAAAGCCGCATTGCCATCCATTCTTCCGATCCTTTATCATATATACAATTATTCTCTTCAAAATGCTACCTTCCCTACATCCTGGAAAACCGCCCTAGTACGCCCATTGAAGAAGACTTCAAACCCATCAGTTCCTAATGATTTCCGACCGATTTCCCTCCTTTCAAACCTCTCAAAACCATTAGAGCGGTTAGTCCAATCCCAGCTATCCCATTTTTTAGAGGACAATAATCTCCTAAATCCCTACCAGTCTGGATTCAGGCCTGGTTATTCTACTCAGTCTGCCCTAATCAAAATTTCCCAAGACCTTCACACAGCCATAGATCAGCAGAAACTAACCATCCTTATTCTCCTAGACTTCTCCAAAGCTTTTGATTCAGTAGACCACAACATCCTCCTAACCAAACTTAAAAATATCTCTTTTTCTTCTAGTTCCCTTAATTGGTTCCAATCCTTCCTAACCGGTCGCTCCCAGTACGTTGTAATTCCTAATAACCCACCATCAGAATCTCTACCTCTGACCAGAGGCGTCCCACAAGGCTCTTCCTTATCCCCCACCCTTTTCTCCATCTATATAAATGACCTCCCATCCTCTATCCTGCACTGTCATTACCACCTGTATGCCGACGACATTCAAATTTACCTCTCCTTTAATCCGACAGATATCTCAGATGCCACTCAAAAACTTCAGGAAGATATTGACAGAATAAGTGCTTGGGCAAACCTCAATAGGCTCACTCTGAACGCCGAGAAGACAAAAGCCATCTTGATCGGATCCCCTTCACTCCTCAAATCCTCCCCAGTATCTCCCAATCTCTTCCTGAACAACTCACCTATCTTATTCTACACCACCGTTAAAAACCTAGGTGTTACTTTCGATCAATCCCTATCCTGGAAACCTCACATCTCCCAAATTTCCCGTCGCACTATCTCCACCCTAAAACAGTTCAATCGTCTACGATATCTCCTTCCATATAAGTCCCGTCAACTCCTAGTTTCCTCCCTTGTTTTCCCCCACTTCGACTACGGCTGTATGGTGTACGGTGGACTCCCGGGAGATTCCGAGGCCAAACTTAAACGCCTAATGAATTGCGCACTACGATTTGTTTTCGGAATCTCAAGGGATACGCATATTACCCAGTATTACACTGAGTTGAGGTGGCTCTACCCATCCTATCGCCGTCAGTACTTCCTAGCCACCTTTCTGTAC